AAATACACTATTGCAATATTTTGAGGACTTGAATTTCCGTATGTGTATAAGACATTCTGGGCACTTGACTTTTTCGGGACTCGAGAATTTAGTACTTTTCGAGGACCTGTGCAAATTATTCCATTCCAAATGCAGCGCGTTATCGATCTTCACCCTTGTGTGGGCCTCCCATTCACTGACGGAATGTCTCGTGGCGTATGATGACCGGATATAAATAGTCACTTTACACTCACTTCGTTTTTTCAGCAAATTCGTTGACCCGTCTGCAGGTCTTATGTTGACGGGCTGTCAGAGCGTCTGTTGCAATAACTGGAATTCCTTATGTATGTTTGCTGCTGATTACAGTGAAGTATTGTTAGAAGTTCCACCTAATCTTTAAAGTTACCCATTAAATTCATAGAAATAATAATATTTAACTGTTTGACGAGTACCCCTATTGTATTCAAAATACTAAACGGCCCAACCCACTATTTAATACAAGCCAAAGGTGTCTTATAGATTCCGAGTAAATTATTATAAACTATCAAATGGAGCATGTAAAGTGCATTATAAATAATCAACAAACCCTAACATAATTGACTATTGATTCAGTTACTGATTCGGGAATTACAATTGCTGATGATACTGAATGCTCTGACCTGAAGCAGTGTTCTTCTTTACTTCTTTACCTATAAAACACATGGGATACAGACTTTCTTCACTGATCACGTAATGCGTGATTTTCTATAAAGTCTTGGAAAAATAAAAGGAAAAATAGATAGAATACAGGTTTACACACAAATATTCATCAAACTGTGTGATAGTTTGTTATAGCAATGAACAATTTGAGAGTATCGTATTGTTTAAGTCGATGGAAAATCTCTGTTGATCCTGTTTTACAAGCAAACCAAAAAGATACAGTAGTCACCACTCTATGCGACATATTCTAACCAGAAAATTGTAATCGTATGATTCTATAAGCATTGGTAGGATTGCAAAGTACTACACAAACATTATTTCAAGGGTAATAACAGTCACAATTTCCGCTGACTTTAAAAGAGTCAACTAAACTATTATAGTAATGGACACACAACTAAATGGAACAACTAATGGAAATTCTCACGATGTACATTCGTTCGATATAAGCATTGAGTATACACGTCAGTACATACGTGTATACCCAATGATATAAGCAACGGTTCTTGCAATTTATTGCTTATTGTTTTAGCGAATTTCCCTATAGGGAAGTAGCTATTACCGTAGGTGGCACGGTAAGACCTAGACCCGGGACCGATTTACTTTTTCATTTTGATGTCCCCAGAGGCCAAAAACACCATTCGTAAAAATTTTTATATATGTATATATATATAGACCTATATATATATACGTCCGTAAACACGATAACTTGAGTAATTTTTGTCCGATTTTGATGAAATTTGGTTTAAAGGTGTAAAGCGGCATAAACTTGAATGAGTTCGCGAACCAGCACGATCGGACCATGGGAACGGGGCTTTACGGGGGGTTTTATGGGGTAAAAATTGGTTTTTCTCACTTTTGACCCTCAAAACACAAAATTTCCCGATTTCTCTTTAGACCTTTTTAAAGAGCTTAAAAAAACAAATAATTTAGTATATAAAAGTATTTTTGTTCGATTATTAGTAACGGAGAAAATTAAAAAAATTGTAAATTTAAAATTCCCATGTTATTCTTATCAAATTGTCAAATTTTGTAGTTTGCTTGTTTATGGATACATTTTGATCAAACTTGGCAAATTTATTTATTTTGTACTAAGCTATCAATATTTTACTCAAAAACACACTTAATTAGTTTCCTTGTAGCAGCAAACCTAGGTACTCGTTAAACCTAGTGTTATTAAAATATATTTAACTGAAAATCAATTCAGACAAATGGAAATTCGCTTAGTCGGCAGGTTTGCTGCGGCGGGGGTATTTTAGAGTTGTTTTCGGACTTACTCTGTTTTCGGACTTACTCGCACTCGTATAAGGTTTTCCACGTTTGTCATTGATAATGTAGCCATGTTGCTTTGAAATGGCGACCATACAAATGTATGCATTTTAAGCCAAGTATGAATGGAGATGAGTGTGGGATGAGTGGAGCGATCTTGTTGTCCTGTTTGTGCCTAAGGCCGACATAATCCTTAGACACAGCTGTTAATTAATAGTGCGCATACAGTCAATTAATAGCAGTAGAGGTCAAGTTTGGTATCAAATTAAAGGTTTTATTCATAAAAATACATTACCGCAAACCCAAACTCAAACGATGATGATGATGATAATAACGTTAATGATGTCGCTAAAACGTATCGTTTGAAATTTAACAGCTGAAAATAAGTGAAATAGAAAAGGTTTTGGTTAAATCCATCAAATTGTAATTGGACACTAGTAAATACTAGTGCACTTGTTGCTACCTCCCCCCTTCGGTTTCATGTAGCCTACTCCTCTCAATCAGTTCAAACCTAGGAGGATTAAACATTAATGTTACCTAATTAATGTTAAATTCTCCTAGATTCAAACCTGAAACACCCAGATCGAAACTCGCCTGTCGTTATTTTACCATCGCCTTTTTTTAAATATATTTTTCAAAAAAGAAAGATTATATTGATTTACTTTGGATTTTAAAAATGTTAACGTTTTATTTTGTTAAAGATTTATGGTGATACGTAAATATTGTGGTGTAGTAAAGTATATTATATTGTAGTTAAGTGTTAAATTTTGAAATTTTAGGGTGAATCGAGATGAATCCTTTTTTATAACATGGGTCTCTCCTACCTTAACATACATACCAAGTTTCATAAACATCGGTAGGAAAAGTGCAAAGATAAATATTTGTATGTAAAAAATACAAAATGGTGGATATCTGGTTAACGAAACGATTTCGGAAAAAATGTTATCCTTGATTTTCTGTTTATTTTGACCCAAGGAATTACTAGGTAAAGTATCTCCCCGCTTATTTTTAACACCCTGTTTATGATGTATTCTTATAAGTGAAAAACGTAAGCTGGTAATACAGAAAAATGTTTTATAAATAATATGAGTGTACTGGTGATCTGTATATTCATCTTTTTCTCGTTCTTAGAACTGTAAATTAAAAGTCCACTCAGCAGTCGCATCGTACGATGTAGTTCTTTCCATGTGTTGCGAAATGCTAAATTTGCCGACCTCTTCAACCCAAGTTATATATTGAACCACTGATTGTAAAAAATTCAAAAAAAATATATTTTACGCATCACACTTTTGGCTACAACTTTGCCACAGACGAAACCTCTCTAACCCAAAAAAAAAATCTCGCATGCTAACTTTTTCATGTTAGAAATCACGATTTAAAACTATTTCACCATACATATCAATTTTTATTAATTAGATCGGTAAATAGTTTAAAGTTCCAACAAAATAGTCATCGAGTAGGACTAACCAAGAAGCTCTGTGCCAATTATCAAAATTTTAGCACAACTTTAAGTACACCAAAACACGAAATTATTGAAGTCATGCGTCGAGAGGACTATCGTTGTTTTTAACAGATTATACTTTTGACCTTCCGGCACTGTTGACTCAGCGAAACTGAACTTATATTTGATCTTATTTCGTTATATTAAAACTGCTGTTGCATTAGATCAAATTCACAATAAGTCAATTGCTTTAACATAGACCACGTTTTTAGCTCGGACTGTACTATTTGACTTACTGGGATTTTTGATCTACAGACACTGCAAACATTGTAGTTTTTGACCTAGCGGCACAGGTATAAATTATTTGACCTTCCGGGACTGTTGACTTTCTGCAACACGTCCGTAAGAAGTATAATAAACAAAGCTCCAATTAGAGAGCATTGCAAGCTTTCCCTTTTTGGGTTTTGAAGGCGAATTTGTGTGATTGACTGACACTTGCTTTCTGGAGTCTTATACGGAACCCACGTTTCATCTTCTGTAACAATACGATCAAGAAATTGGTCTCTATCTTTGTCATATTGTGTAAAAAATTCAAGGCCCCATGTGTTTTACCTTTTGACCGCCGTCAAAATTTTAGGCACCCACTTTGTTGTAACCAAGATGATCTGTCACTATCTCGTGTAGGAGAGATCGTGTAATTTGTGGAAAAGAGTCATGCAAGGTCGTCAAAGTGAAAAGTCGATTATCGTACATTTTTTCTTAAACTTTTTGCTTCAGTTCATCCATGACTAGTGATGGCCTTCCGCTCAGATCTTCATGCATGTTAGTTCTTCCTTGGTTAAACATGATAAACCACTACTGTTTATCACTTCTTACTGATGACTCATTCATTGTATCTTCACCATAGACAGCTTTAATTTGCCTATGAATTTCAATGGACTTAACTTTTTGAACATTCAAAAAGCGAATTACACTCCATACTTAACATTAAACAGAATCTTTGATAAGCGCCGCCATTTTAAAACGCTGCGAAAACAAGTAGCAAGATCACACAGCAAAGAGAATCACCTCACACTGATGAGAAAGTAAGGGGCAAGCGGCCGCGCAAGTAATCACAGTATGGGGGGACCTGCACTGTGCGTCATGCACAATCTTTCTATACTTTGTGCACGACCCTCATTTACATAGTTTCTGGAATGGAAACAAACAAAAAGCTACCCATCATGGTTTGCAGAGTTGGTGTACACGATAGAGCCAGTTCAGCTTGAGTTTAACAACTTCAGCCCGATGGATACTAAATCCATCGAGACTAACACTACTTAAGGTTCCACCAACCACTGAGAATGTCATGCCTAACTGTAATTGCACTGTTTATCTAATTTGCTGGAATCAAATCTCACTTATCACTGACAGTTCACAAAAACTCTGAACCTACTAGACCTGCTCATCATAAAATGTTGTATTCACATATAATAGGCAGTGCAATCATTCACCTTTCAATCAAATTTACACAAATAAAAACTGTAGACTAAATTTTAATCTATTCACTTGTCTTATGAAGTGTCCGACTATTGCAGTCTAAGGTTTGAGGGTGATGCATAATAGATACAACATATTACAATTAAAAACACTTTTATTGAAACATACAAGCTTCAAGTTAAAGTGAAAAAGTCAACTGACACTGAAAAACACTATTGAGAAATAAAGACGTGAGGATGTAAACAGAGGGGCTGGATGGAGTGAGATGACACTAAGAGACCAGCAAACAGCTGTATAGCCAGTTCTGCCAAGAGGAGCAATCTGGACTGAGAACATTCACCAGACAACACTTCTGTAACAACCACAAATTAGTTATCTTTTTGAAGAAAATCACTTGACTTGGAATTCAATTAAGGTAGGAAATGGAACACTCCCTTGCCTGAATAGAGTCCCAGCATTGACTTTTGGATACTGAAGTAGATATCCAATCCATCTGGACCAGCTGTTGCCATTTTTTATTGAAAAAGAACATAACAGTAGAACTCCAATTATCTCAACTCAAAAACTATCTGAATCACCAATTATATCTGAATTGCTTACAGAAATAATTTAAAATCTTAAAACGACAGTAATAAGAATCGTTACAAGACAAGAGCCATAATCGAGGCAAAATCCAAACCCTCACTTGCGATTGTGTTGACATCATCTCATCCACAGTCACAGAAACATTGTCATAGTTTTTTGTGATCGCAGCAAAATCTTAAGTAAATCCAACTGTCAGTTCAACATTATCATAGTCTCCCGCCATCATGGAAACATCGTCAACGTCTTCAGTGATTGAGGTAAAATGTTAATTATCCTCTGTTATAGCTATTTTGGTATATAGTAAAATATGACATGTTCTAGAGTGATTAGTAGGAATAATACTTCATCAGTGCTCATAGAACACCAGCGTCCCATATGGCGGAAACTTCCTCTGTGCTTATGGGAGACTAGCGTCCCGACATCACTTCCTGCTACTCGTTTATGTTTATACTTCATTCTTTTTCCCTGAATAAATATTCTGTATTGGTATTCAATAGAAATTTCATAACCAATGTTATGTGTTTGTTTTGAATTTCTGTTTATATTTTGTTGTTATTTCGTCACCAGCATGGCAACCAATAAAGCCCATGTTAATTTTTTAAATTTCAAATTCATTTTTTGTGCTAATATTGGAGCCTATTTTAATTTTTAAAGGGATTCTGCACATCTAAAGGAAAATATATTTCTTACAGTATGCGTAGATTTTCCCAACAATGCACACAAGCTGAGAAAAAAGGTTTTAAAGAAAAATGCTAGCCCATTAATATATAAAAGATATAATTATTTTTGACTTTATTATTTATTTTTAAAATATCATTCTTTTTGTATTACCATATACTACATCACTACCAAACTCATGCTATAGAACATCCAATGATCGAAATGGAGTTCAAAATAAAGTGTAGTATCTTAATCAACCTAAGTTATGAAACGTTTTTACTACACCTTTTATGAAGGGCAAGACATAAACTGCAAGCAACATTTTATACTTTTGAAAAACATTACCAAGAACATGAAAATAACTTCTAATGATACAATAGTTATTTGTGTAACTAGTGAGCAAAGTGGCACTTTGCTGCACACGAGAGCAACGTTTACGCACGAGCCGCAGGCGAGGAATGATCTCGAGTGCAGTAAAGGCCTTTCGCACTCGTGTTACACATCATATTTTTCCTACAGTCACTATAAAGCATATAAATAATTAGTCTTTCAAACGCTATACAACACGTTTTTAGGTTCAGGTGGCAACACAAATAGGTGCCCTAGAGAAAGTAGTCCCCGGTCCGTATCACTCCGCTATTTTTCCTCGGCAAGCAATGTGCTGAGCGACTTAAAATAATAGTTCCGTATATTTTTGTAATTTGCAGTGGTTTCCGGGCCTAAAAAAATGCTTTAAAGGTAGTTTCTTGTTTATTAAGATTGTAGGAATGTTTTAAAAACGTTTAAAAGAAAAGTCCAGAAAGTTCAGAAATACCGAAAAGAGAACATAAACTATAAACACGAAATGACAGGTTAAATCGTAGTTATGATAGTCATTCAGCTGCTCATAATATTATTATCTTTAAGTGTTGCCAACCTATTTCCAAGCGTACATGGATTACATGCAAAATAGAACCACACTGTTTTGTGTTGTTTTGTTGGAATCCTGATGTGCGCCAAAGTATAAACCGTACGACAAAGTATAAATATTCAGCAATTAGCAGCTTTCTGTACTATAAACAGTACAAGGAAGCCAACTTTTTCGGGTGACTGTAGGAAAAATCTTTTTTTATGCTACGTAGAGGCCCCAGACCTGCGGAAATGGCCAGTCTGGGCGTGGAACATAACCACTTGTAATCTGCAGCTTACCATGTGTTACTTCTTGCCAACACGTATTTGAGGTGTTTTCTTGGGTGGGGACCATTTGAGAGCTGTTGTGTCAACTACTAGTCGCGGCCTCTTGAACTGTGCTGAGCGAATGTGTTCATCTACCAACTTGGGCGTCACACAGATCACATGCTGACCCTTCCAGTACTTGACCATGTTCATTGACTGCAGCGTTGAGATTATATCAGTCTGTGTGATGCTTGTCATTTCACTGAAACAAAGTCCAAATTGTAACTCATGTGTGTATTGGATCACTATTGATGTTGTAAATTGAGTTATTTTATATAGTACGTTCAATATTAATCAACATTAGAAGTCATAATTTGTTTGTCTTTGTTTTCTTACTAACACATGTTTTATTTATTTGATTTCAAAAGGACCAGTTGAAGTTAAAGTTTTATTTCAGAACTAAATAATTTGTAGCAAATTTCCCATGGGAATAAGCTATTATTGTTAATGTTAATATGTTATTGAAAAAGTTCTTGTAATTTAACACGAGTTTTAACAGTTTTGATTTCTCATGGTAAAATGGCTGTTTTGTGAAAAATTAGAAGAAACATGAAGGGATATTAACGGGAGGTAGAACAAAGCCATCTTAGTTTATAGCAATTGTCAACTGACTTTTTCACTAATTTTTGCAAATTTCCCTGAAGGGAGTAGCTATTAACGTAAGTGGCAAGGTAAGACCTGGAGCCGGGACTGAAATACTTTTTCATTTTGATGTCCCTAGAGGCTAAAAACACTATTCGTTCAAATTTTTATACATGTATATACATAATATATATATATACTAGCTGTTGTACCCGTGCTTTGCAACGAGAAGAGGACACAAAATAGAAACATTTTTAATGAAATAATGAATTTATTTTCTCTTTTTGACAAAGAATTCACAATATATACAATCAGTTACAAAATCAAGACAAACATTGATTAGCTTATATATACTAGGTTTTATAAAGATAATTAATTTATACAAAAAACAATTAAAAGCAAATTACTGATTATATGCTGTAGTATACCGTATAGAAAAGAGAAAATATGAGAAAATATCCAAGGCTATGTCTGTTTGGAGGTTCTATTTTAATTTTTAAATTAACAAAAAAAATTCTGCGTTTGACAATAATGAATAGTAAAGAAAAACCTGTCTCACTTAAAAATAATATACAGTAGTTTAAAAATAAACAAAACATCTGTTCAGTTTTCACAATCAGTAAAATCCTAAACCTATTCTACTATATTTAATTTACTTAACAAAATCAAATGGTAGCCTAGCTCACTATTTTTTTTTTTTATGTTTGAAATTACTTGAAAAATATGAAACTGATATTGTATTAACTGTACATATAAACGAAAAAGAAATTGTATAATACACAAAACATCTAAATTATGCCTGAATATTTAATATTAAGTCAACTTCATCAAGTTCAAACAACCATTTCTTAAGGTTTTTTAGAAAATGTTTTTTGTTCCTTGAGGTCTTAATGTTATCTGCCAGTTTATTATTAATAACCAAGGTCCGATAAACATAAAAGTCTTGGTAAAAAATGTGTTATTGGGCTTTGGAACTTGGAAGTAATCTGCGTTCCTTAGCATTCTCCTGTATGAATTTTCTTCTTGTAGAGCTAGTATGTTACTCCTTTCATCATAAAAAATTTTTAAAACTTTAAACATAGACAAAGATTTTATTGAAAAAATTTTTAGGTTATTTATTAAACAACGGGCGTGAAGGTTCAGTAATTTGTTTACATTTGATCAACCTTAGGAGGTGTTTTTGTTGTAGATAAATTCCATGTAAATTTATTGTATATGCGCTTCCCCAGAGAAAAATTCCATAATCAAGCCGGCTGTGCACAAGTGAGAAATATAACATACGCAGAATCCTTTCAGGACACATGTCCCTCAGAAAATAGAAAAGTCTAATAACATTGTTAATTTTATTTTTTGTAATATTTATATGCGTTTTCCAGCTTAAATCCTGATCTAAAATTATACCTAGGTATTTTAAATGAGAAGTTTGTTCAATCACAGCACATTCTTTAGTTGGACAGATATGCCTACTTAAATTAGATAGGCAATCAGCACAATTATATGTAATTGGCTCCAAAAATGTTGCAGTTTTCCTGAGGCTAAAGTTAATATATTTGGTTTTATCTGTATTTAGCTTCATATGATCCATTGTGAACCACCACTGTATTGCTTCAAGATCCTTTTTCATGTCATTTTGCACATCAACAGATGTGTCTCCTATGTAACTAAAAGCTGTGTCATCAGCAAAAGATGTTAATTTACCGTTTAGTTACCATTACATAAACCATTTATGTATATTATGAATAAAATTGGTCCTAAAATAGAGCCTTGAGGTACTCCATGTAGAATTTTCCCAACGTCGCTATATTCAGATCCAATTTTAACACACTGATATCTTTCTGACAAATAACTTTCAAACCATTTATGTGCTACACTTCTAATACCACACCTAAACAATTTATTAAGTAAAATTTTGTGATCCACAGTGTCGAATGCTTTTCTAATATCCAAAAATAATCCGCTTGTAAACTTATTTGCGTTTAGTCCGTTATAGATATCATTCATAAAATGTATTAAAGCACTTTCAGTATTCAATCCTTCTCTAAAGCCAAACTGATTGCTACTAAGAAAACCAGTATAATTGAGAAAATTTTAAAGTTTCCTCTTCATTACTTTCTCATAAATTTTTGAGAAGCAAGAAAGTAAGGAGATGGGACGATAACTGTTGCAAGAGTTATTTAGTCCACCTTTAAAAATAGGTACAACAACAGCAGTTTTCAATTTTGAAGGAAAAACACCATTCTGAAAGCTTAAGTCGATCAAATATACAAGAACATTTATTATTTTGGGTGCCACTGTTTTTAAAACTGTTTAACTTCTATGGTTATTTAATTAATATTTAACCATATGATTTTATTTACCTTCTTCAATAATATTTTCTTGTATTAGTGTCTTGATTAAAAACAGTTTAGTTTCATTTGATCTTTTAATTTTTATCTAAATAAGAAACAGAACATGGCGCAGTCGAATGAAGAACCTGTATCCCTGAACATTCTTTGGGAATCTACTAAAGAAGAGCTTGAAAGAATGGTGTCAATGGGGGTGATCGCTGAGGTACACCATGCCACAGACTGGTGCTCTCCAATGGTTGTTGTGCCAAAGAAGGACTCTAACAAAGTTCGCATTTGTGTGGATCTTACTAAATTAAATAGATGCGTCAAACGAAGATACTATCCTATTCAACCCATCGACATAACACTTGCCCAAATCTCAGAAGCAAAATGCTATTCTAAATTGGATGCTAATAACGGATTCTGGCAGATCACATTGGACGAAGAATCCCAAGATTTGACAACGTTCCTGACACCGTTTGGACGCTTTAAATTTCTGAAACTACCCTTTGGAATAACATCTGCACCAGAAGTGTTCCAAGAAGACCTTCACAAAATGATTTAGTGAACAGCAATTTGACGTGCCAAGTTTCAAAGGAAGGAGCTACTGTGTTTGCTTTAGTAACGAAGCCTGTCTATTATGGGAAGCCCAAGTATGAGGATTACACACAAGCTTTTTTACAACTGACGGATCACTTTAAATTAAGGAAGCTAAAGACGCTGATCTGTTCTCCGATGGGCTGTGTCCGGGATAAAATAGAACTACATCAATTTGTCTCCTGTCTTGTGAATTTTCATAACCAAACTGAAGCGAAGATAATAATTGTTAATTATGACCAGAAGTCTGCCAGAGTATTAAGAAACGGATTGTCCCATGAGGCTTTTGTCAAAAGATTACTTCAAGAAATCAACAAGCGTAAAATATCTACCAACTCCAAATCATCTTTTGACTCAGTTATACACACTATTGGAAATACAACACTGTCCTTTTCAAGTCCATCATCTCAGCTCAAAGACGGCTCTACAGACACTCCTGATTTGGCAAACATGTCAACCTTTCCACCCCTCAACTCATCTCAACATAATTATCATCATCATCATCATGAGTCCAACAGTCAAAGTGAAGTAAGTGTAAGTGCAGAGCAGAGTAAATGTGCTTCGGAGTGTTTGGATAAACTGCCAAAGACTCTCATTTCTGGCAGCAGTGATGGTCATTTTTTATAGATAACCAGACTGGACCAGCAAGAGTTACCAATCCCTCCTCTTTACCTATTAAATACACTAATGTTAAAAGTTCACATAAAATTAAAATTCTACACCAAAACGTTCAGCACTTCTCTTCTCGGACTTTATCATTGGAAATTGTTTTAGAAGAAATCAAACCTGAACTTTCAAAAAAATTGCTATTTTAAAATTCCCATGTTATTCTTATAGAGAATATTGTAAAAATATAGGAAAACAAAACACCATCTGCATGAATCGAAGAGAAAACTTCAAATTGTCTACAGGTGATACCTGAGGTCTTTGATGGAGACAGTGCCCCGGAAGTCCCTGAGTATCTCCAGTAACACCCAGGACCAGTAGGATCGGTAGCTGAGCTTGCCCAGGTCAGACAGAGGTTTCTCTGGACTTCCCACAGCACCCTCCATCTTGCTCAACTCGTAACTGAAGGCAATGAGCAGCTTGCCGTAGCCCTGCCGCTGGTACGGGGGCAAAGTCAGGATACAAGCCACGTTGTTGCCATCAGGAGACTCCTTCTCCTGCAATCATAATCATTCTTAACATTAAAAGTAAAATTGTGTACATAATAATATGGTTCACTGACCGAATGTATTTTATTATTTTTTTTGTAATTATGTAAAAAAATTTTTAATAAAGTCTCTTTTAATAACTAAGCATAAGTACTTTTTATTTTATAAAGTAGTTTACAATAAATATTCATTAATATGGTACAGTACATTATCCAGCCGGAAAACAATAATAATGTTTTTATGAATGTTTTTGTTGAAAGTAAAAATTAATACTTTAAATAATACATATACGCATTATTTTAATGTACAAACGATCCGCAATAACCTAGAAAATGAAATCACAAAAAGTACTAGCATTGTACTAGTTTGGCTAACCATTTTTGGTTAGCAGGACGAATTGTCTGCAGAACGTCAACAAAAGCATTGCCGCCTTATCAGTGTTTGTCATCACAATGTTTTAATAATATTGCCATTATTATATAAAGTATAGTTCAAGCCAAACTAAAAAAAAAAACAACAATTTTATGCTTTAAAAACTGTAGGGGTCCACCTTATTGTGTTTTTATTAAATTCTGTAGAGTGTTAGCTTGGCATAATTTAATAATACTGTATATAAAGTTTTCCAAGACAATTATTAAGTGTTAAGCATATTGGAGTTATTGTTTACCTTAATAATTTAAATACCAGGTGTTTCAAAATGACTCACCCGGTTTCAACGCTTTATAACTTTTATACTATTAAACTTACCGCTATAAAATACACATCAAACGAAAAAGCAACTCAAAGAGTTTATGCCTACCAAAGACACATTATTTAATAAAATCGATCCAGCAGAACTGTAGATTTAATTGTACAAAGTTAAAAAGTAATCTCCAACTTTTTTTAACACTAGAAATTTGGAGGTTACTTGACGTTTTTGCAAATAACTTTTAAATGGTGAGGAAATCGATCAAAGTGGAAGGTATTATTCCGAAAGAGAATAAAATTTAAATTTCCTACAATCTACTATTATGCATATCTTGAAAATACTCAATAAATGTAGCCTAAATTTGCCTTAAAATAAAAAAGTGTGAAATTTAATGTTTGCTATGTCTATTGTCTACATTGAAGACGGGGATTTTCAATTTTTTTCATTTTTAAGCAATTTTTGGTACCTTTCTTGAGTATTTTCAAAAAATGCATAATAGTAAATTGTAGGAAATTTTATTCTCTTTCGGAATATTACCTTCCACTTTGGTCGATTTCCTCACCATTTAAAAGTTATTTGCAAAAACGTCAAGTAACCTCCAAATTTCTAGTGCTAAAAAAGTTGGAGATTATTTTTTAACTTTGTACAATTAAATCTACAGTTCTGCTGGATCGATTTTATTAAATAATGTGTCTTTGGTAGGCATAAACTCTTTGAGTTGCTTTTTCGTTTGATGTGTATTTTATAGCGGTAAGTTTAATAGTATAAAAGTTATAAAGCGTTGAAACCGGGCGAGTCATTTTGAAACACCCGGTACATTCTCCATTAAAATACCAATCATTGATCATAGAGTATTCACTATGCATGTAGCCTGTCTTGCTATCGCACACCTCAAATTTCTTGATGCCGAAGCGCAGTGGCGCTCCCAGGGGGCTTTAGGGGCTTAAGCCCACTCCCCACAAGAACCTAGGGTTAACTCTTTACGAGGGTCAGGAGTCAGCTGTATATACGTAAATTTTTCACTAAATTTTTAAAATATCTAACTTTAAAACTATTATTAAAACACTATTTAAATTAAATACAGCAAGGAGCACGCATATTTTTAGGCCTATGCAGATATGCCTAATTTAAACTGCTTGAAAATTGACGGTACTTAAATTGCTGTATTGGTTAATTAATTCTTAAATCATTGGCGGTTAGTTGTCAATAGAGACAGCTTGACTGCATGTTCTCCCTTCATCCGCCTGCCTCATAGTGATAGTGCCTACGTGCCGTTGCCAAGTTGCCACTAGCGACCAGCGCTAGGCTAGACAATGACAATAGTGCTGCTAGTTGCTCCAATGCTCACTTGACCCTTGACGCGTTCGCGCTGTGTGTAGGTTGTTAACAATTAAATTTTGGATTTAATTTGAGGACAGTGTTTGTTGTGATGTTGTCAAGTCAAGCTGTGTTTGTAGTCTGAGTGGACTTGCAGCTTTGAATGTTCACATAGAATTTGAAGTCACTAGTAGACGTCTGGATTTTGTTTTGTAAATCTGTAACTTTAACTTATATCTAATTTGTTCTAATTATATTTGCGTACCAATATCGTATTTGTACAAAACTTAAAATCACTTGTAAATTAATCAGATAGTTGCGTTTAGCTTACTAAAATGATCAGACGGCAATACAAATAAATTTTTTTTATAAAATATTTATTTATTACTAGCGTAATAATTATTTTGATTACACATTTTTTATAATATTCAAATTTTTACAATTATTTTATAAATAAAATATTGACGAAAGGTCGTTGTCTGTGGGTGAGGAACCAATGATGCTGGTTATTATTAAATACTACAATTTAATTCATACTACAAATCAATTACTAATAATAATTACAGGCAGTGGCGTGTCCAAAGGGGTTTTAGGGGTTACACACCCCGATTTTAAACATATTTTTTTCCACAGTCAAAAAATCTCTTAAAAAATGGCAGCTATTTTCATTTTGCAGCTTAAATAATAGAATGGCTAGTGTCAGACATCTTGCTAAAAAGGCATTTAAAGAATGTTAAATTAAACTCTTCTTAAATTGTGATGTGACCCATGAAACCTATTACAACATATTTTTGTTAGGTAACACATACTTACGGGACACCCTGTACATGGTGAAAACAGCTCCCTACAGCACAAAGGTGAAAACCAAAATTTTACCTTGGAAAAATAACCGACAAGATGTGCTCCATGCTTATCTACTTCACAAAGAATGTAGAAAAGGAAGGGTTCAACGTCAAAGTAGAGTGTTTTGTGGTCCAAGAATAATTTGGCCAAAAGACAGAGATTCTGACAGTAAGTCTTGTGGTGGCTGCCATCAGTCTCCCAGATACTGAGTGTGCCTTTCCTGTAGATCTCCTTACCAGGGGGTTGTCTCCAGGTACACTCACTCTACAAACAAACAAGCAAAACTCGGTTTAGAATGAGACAAATATTCTGACGGTAAGTGATGTGGTGGCTACCACGAGTTTCCCAGATACTGAGTGTGTCTTTCCTATAGATCTTACCAGGGGGTTGTCTCCAGGTACACTCACTCTACAAACAAACAAGAACAACTCGGTTTAGAATGAGACAAAGATTCTGACGGTAAGTGATGTGGTGGCTACCACGAGTTTCCCAGATACTGAGTGTGTCTTTCCTATAGATCTCCTTACCAGGGGGTTGTCTCCAGGTACACTCACTCTACAAACAAACAAGAACAACTCGGTTTAGAATGAGACAAAGATTCTGACAGTAAGTGATGTGGTGATTTTTTTAAGACTAATTCCGGATTTTTCAAGACTAGTTTTTTTCAACAATTAGTGATATGCCGATACCAAAATGTATTAATTCTCGATTCTTGATACTGATACCAAATTTTATAGTTTAACACACCAACCCCTGTCTTCATGTCATAAAGTATTATTAACATAATGGGGTGTTTTTCAAGTAAAGAAAAATTGCAGCAATAAATATTCTAACAGCCAATTTAGGTTTTTTGGATCATGAAAATCTTCTGCAGCTATGTAGACATCATCGTTGACTGCACCGGTCATGGAAGCGTCATCGTCGTGGTCCGCGCTCCCAGCAAAATCATGAACTGAACATTTCCCATGGCTGTGTAGACATTATCGATGTATCCCGCGGTCAGAGTAACGTCATCGTCATCGTCCGCGATCGCGGAAAAATCATAAACATCTTCCGTGGCCCTGTAGACATCATCATGATGGTCTTCATTGACTGCTGCGGTCATGGCTATGTCATTGTCGTCATCCCCAATCGCGGCAAAACATGAACATTTTATGCGGGTGTGTAGACATCCTCGTCGTCTCCCGCGGTTGTGGAAACGACATTGTCGTTGTCCGCGATCGCGGCAACATTATGAATATCTCCCGCAGTCGTGTGGACATCATAATCTTCTTCCGCGGTCACGGAAACGTCTTACGCAATCGCGGCAAAATCATGAATATTCCCGACTTTTTAAGACCTATTTGAAATTCAATAATAAGTCCCGACTTTCCCGTTTTTCCCGACTACTAGACACACTGAGTCTCCCAGATAATGTGAGTGTCTTTCCTGTAGATCTCCTTATCAGGGGGCTATCTCTAGGGTACCTATACTCACTCTACAAAAAAAAAAAACAAGCAAGACACGGTTTAGCCTGAGCCAAAGATTCTGACAGTAAGTCTTGTGATAGCTGCTATCAGTCTGCCAGATAATGCGAGTACCTTTAGTGCAACAGTGGAACCTTTAGTAAAAACACTAAAAACAGTGGAACATGACTAATTCAAACTTCTATAATTTGGAATCGTCTTTAACATTTATTTACACAACTTTACAGTGCGTTATAGGTTTTGCTATAAATTCATAGGCTAAGTTATTATTAACCAGCGCCCTATCATATCTGAACCTCCCAATATCCAATAACTGGGTCATAATTTGAATAAAGTACGATTCTAAGTAGTGATTACAAAAAATATTTATTAATAGTTATTCTAATGACAATTGCACTTTTTAATACTGGTAACCTATAGAACACCACAAAATACGTAGAAAGCACTAATAGATATATATGTCAATGGTAGAGATAGTTTTATACTGAAAATTCTCGTTTTGTGTAACAGAGGTCACACTAAGATAAATCTTAATTACATGATGAAAAAAGTGGGAAACCCAATGTATTTTTTATTTTTTATTGCTCAAATATACTGTTGTTAAATATATTACAGCCCTGTTTCTTTTGTTTTACCTATATCTTCATAAAAGCTTAGAAAAGATGTAATTATTTTCCAAATACGAGTTTTACACAGGTTTTTTAACCTCATAATGTGTGTATACGATTTTATAGTCATGAAAATCATTGTGTACTAATTTAAAATCAAACTAAATTGAAAAAATATAACAATTTATACATATTTACACTGTACGTATTTTAAAAATATAAATTAAAAATGTGACATTCTGTTACATGTGTGTGACCTCCGTTACATGTGTATGACCTCTGTTACATGTGTGTGACATCCGTTACAGAGATGAATCAGAATCTCACACTATGACATAAAGAACAACTATATCTTAATATTTAATATGTCCATAGGCATCAAAAGAAGATTGAAATAATGAAAAAAAGAATATGCTAATAATAACAGTTCAAACTAATAAAAGTAAGTTAGTCTTCCAACTAAACGTTAGAAAAAATTTTCTTTATTTTCTCCATCTCTTTTTTTTCTATTTGGTAATGGCGTTGTGACACTGGATAAGGTGGTTTGGTCACACACATTAACCCAGCAATGGTAACTTCCTGTTTGTCTTCAGGTGTAGGCCAGAAGAATTTATTGCCACTTTTGGACATAAACGCTACCACCAATATATCTCCTTCTTTCTTCTCCTCCACAACTCCTAAAATTAAAAAAAAAATCAAATTATTTAGGGCAAACAATAATTTTTACCAAAAAGCAATGAATTATTTAAATTTTTGAATGATTTTTGGCCTACTGTTATAAGATTAATGTAAACAAAATTATAAAAAGAATGTAAAAAATTTGTTGATTTTTTAAATTGAGTTTAAATTTTAGTTACCTGGATACCAGTCGTTGTCATAAATGACACAAACCCAGCTTCCCACATCAATGCGTCTTGTACGACATAAATTGTCTTCTTGTGGGTCATCCAAATTGTTTTCCAAGCTGGGACCATTAGTTTTATCCAATAGATTGTCTTCTTGTGGGCCATCCAAATTGTTTTCCAACGTGGGATCATTAGTCTCAAGTGCATGTACTGTTAATTTGGCTAAGAAAAAGTATTTTAATAATCTATTGGGAAGATGGTCTTAAAATTATGCCTGTTTATTAAAAATGCATTGCTTAACAAAGAATGTTGTTTGATGTTCTTACATTTTTGTCTTTTTAATTAAAAGTCAAGTTTCAATTTATAAACAAGTGGACCTAAATTGTCCTGTTGCCCAATCAATTTATTTACATAAAATTTTTGAAACACAAGTTCCATTAAATCACACTTCCAACAATCTTTTGTAAATAATGGGTTATAAGTTAAATAAATTGATTTATTATTGGCAAATATGTGTTTTTAATAACTTACAAACTAATGTTAGTTAGTTAAGAAAAGCAAAATAAATTAGTGATAAAGTAAAAGGATACAATGACTTTCAACGATGTGGTATGGAGGATTGTGCGGATGATGCTTACAAGCCTTGTTGAAGGCACAGGTAAAGCAACTAAGCCTTCTGAGAAAGATTTTGCATGGTTCGTCTTTCCATGTAGCTTGTTGAATCTGACTAATGCCAACAACAGCCTGAAGCTTTTCAGGCCTTTTCAAATACATCTCATCAATGTCTGTAGATTTAATCTTTATTAGATTTACCTTACTGCAAGTTTTGCTTACACACTTTATAAATGAGTCTACATCTGTTACATCATTGCCACATTTCACCATGAGATCTGCACTTCTTTTCACCACTCCACCGATTCCATCGGCAGAGCCTTTGCCGTGCCCACTAATGGAAAAATTCCATGTCATGGATTTCAAATTTGGTACATACTCCTTTATTCTAGACATGAAAAATATATTGAACCTATTTTTGTATTGTGATGACGGTCCATCACTTAATACATGTAAAGTGTCAATTTCAGGGCTTTTGTTTATTTTATCAAACAATGGCAAAAGATGAGCCCAGACAGCATGTGCCTTGTGATCAGTGTTATCGGTTATGGTACAAAGTGATTCCAATTTATTTTTGGAGTACATAACTACTGTGTGGAGTGACAGTTGCTGTTTTGAACCTCCAAAGTGGCAGCTTTGGATTTCTTTATAAGACTTGCATAAATAGTTTTCAGAGAAATCAATGTGGAGCAAACACTCGTTTTCTTTAAGTGATTTCTTAAGTGTGTCCATGGCATTGTATTGGTGTGTTATTTTAGATAAATGTACTTTGTAAAGATCTAGCTGTTCTTGTAGCTTCATTGCTAGTTCAGAAACAGTGCATTGAACTTCCTCTTTGATACTCACCCTCATCAGTTTAGGATTTTTGTCAGAAATCGGTTTTGTAATCTGTTTCCACTGCAAGTAATTTACTTCAGATTGATCAATATTTGAAGTCTTTATCCTGCTTGACTCACATCTCGTGCAAACACCTGACATGCAATCTAGGGATTTCTTGTTACACACTGTCTCTTCAACTAATTCATCTAATGATTTTGTCACAATCTTTGTTTGAATACATTTTTCATGTACAAGGATGACATTGCTGCAAATTATACATGCACATGTATCAAGATCGTTCAATTTTGGGAATACAACCCAAAATGGCCTCAGTTTTAAAAATGTACTGTAACAAACTTTATTGTTTGGATGTTCTTCATTGAATTTTTTGTGTAAACCTTTAGCTGTATCTAGTAGAAGTCTTTTTTGTTTTTTAACTTTGCGTCTTGTAATGCAATCTTTTTTACCAGGGAGTTGTTTACTGTTAATGTCCTGGCAGTAAAATCTTCTGACTAAATAGATTGTATTACGAGGCAATCTTCTTTTATGCTCTTGCTTAGTTTTTCCAATTCTCCTATAAGCTTTGTAGCTTCCAACTAGATTTTTGGCCTTATTTATTAGTTTTCTTTTCCTTAGTAAAGGCGTTGAAACCATGGCGTTGAATTCACTAATTTCTGCTTTGCTTTTAAGGGTGTTTTTCTTTTGAATTAAACCTTCCTCGATTGTTTCTAAATAAACCAGCCGCCTTTTTACTGGAGTAGGTACTTTTCTGTTATTTGCCAGTTGTGTTATTTTTTTCGTTGGGGATGGGGATTTGGTCACAGAGTTTTTATATCTTTGAAATCTTTTCTTATATCTTTCTGCTTTTCTCTGTGCAGATGCGAGCTGTTTTTGTGTTGAAAGTAGGTCTCTATAAACCTTAATGGTTTTTTTCGATTTTTTCCTCAGTTCTCTTTTTTTTGCACTGTGACTCTTTAAACTGTTGTTTGATATATTATTTAAGGATTCATTTTGGATATCACACTGTATAACAGCCTCATTTTGCCCATTCTGAAGTTTTTTTCTTTCTCTGCAGCGTTTTACTCTTTCTCTAACTAATTTTCTGTCTCTTCTTTTTTCCCTTTCATTCATATCTTTTCTCAACTTCCAGGTACCAGCCTCTTTTCTTTTCAATTTATACTGCTTGTCATACTCTCTCTTTTTTTCCAGTTGTTCTTCGGTAAGCTTTGCTCTATGTTTTCTCTGCCTCTCCCTTTCTTTCAAACGTTTCTCCTCTAATGCCTTTTCACTTAGCTTAGTTCTGGGTTTATTGTTTGATTTTTTAATCGCCTGTTTTGAACTAACCGAATTTTTTACTGTAGCAGGCTTAATTGGCCTTTTACTTTTATCGTTAACTTGTGAACAACTAGGCTTCACCAAGTTCAAATTATCTGGAGGGGTACTGGTGGTACATATTTTCTTTGGTGTTTGCACAGCTTTAGTAGAACCAGTTTTAGTTACTTCTAAATTATCTGGAGCTGCAGTACTTGAAGTATTTATAGGCGTACTAGAAGTCATTGGTCTAGAAAGTAAACCTCGGTCATGTTCCAACACACGTCTTCTTTTAATTTCCGCGTATTTTCGTCTTTGAAATTCGGCATTCTTTTTCTTTCGTATTGCAGATTTTTCTAATTCAATTTTTTTTCTACGGACCAAAGCCTCTTCTCTATCTTTTTTCAATCTTTCTTTCAACAGAAGATCTTCATCTCTTCCATCCATGGTCTGGAAAATTAAAGAATTTGTTTTCTAGCAAAGGCCTACTTAATGTCATTACAAGAGGACAATAGGATTAAAAAAGCCTAACTGAATCTTTAATAAAAAATACTTGTAATAATTCTACACCATGACATATTTTAAAAATATTATTTGCTGTATTTAACTTAGCCATCTAAAATTATTAAAAAAAAACGTTTAACTCAAATTATATTTATGATTATAAGTTTAACTTTTCATGAATGCAAACATTAAGCTATTAAATCAAGGCTTTATCATAAATTTAATAAATAGGCTCAGGCCTAATTAATGTAGACCTAACTAATGTAGAGAGTAAATAAAAAAAACTAAAAAAGTAATAAAGCAAACCCCTTCCCCTATCTTTAATAAAAATTACAACACATAAAATCATTATTTTTCAAAAACCCATATCAACTAATTTCACAACTGCAACAAGAACTACGTAGTCCTAACTCAATTTAGATGCAAACATTAAGCTATTAAATCAAGACTTTATCATAAATTTAATAAATAGGCTCAGGCCTAATTAATGTAGACCTAACTAATGTAGAGAGTAAATAAAAAAAACTAAAAAAGTAATAAAGCAAACCCCTTCCCCTATCTTTAATAAAAATTAAAACACATAAAATCATTATTTTTCAAAAACCCATATCAATTAATTTCACAACTGCAACAAGAACTAAATAGTCCTAACTCAATTTAGATGCAAACATTAAGCTATTAAATCAAGGCTTTATCATAAATTTAATAAATAGGCTCAGGCCTAATTAATGTAGACCTAACTAATGTAGAGAGTAAATAAAAAAAACTAAAAAAGTAATAAGTTAAAGCAAACCCCTTCCCCTATCTTTAATAAAAATTAAAACACATAAAATCATTATTTTTCAAAAACCCATATCAACTAATTTCACAACTGCAACAAGAACTAAATAGTCCTAACTCAATTTAGATTGGATAAAAAAGTGGAAAGCAGTTCTAGAAATTTGCTGGTTGCAATGAAAACTCACGCATAATTTGGTCTTTTTCCCGGTTGGAGGCAACCCTGCATCATCATTATTTTCATCAAAACATTGTTTACTAATTCATTATATTATATTCCATGTCAAAATCGAAAATAATAAACCAACAAATATATCACCAACAAGATCAAAACGTATATCAATCAAATGAATCAGCGGTCACAAAATGTATCGGATGTCACGTTTAATTGTGCATCATTCGTGACCGGCGATTCACAGACCGGCGTTACAATTTCATACGTCGTGTCTGCTAACCTCAAAATGGCGGATGCTATCGCTAGAGGCAAGTCGGCATTTGGAACCGGGCCGTATTACGCAAAACTTAAACTAGTACGATGCATTGTGATTTATATTTTATTGACAATTAGTCATGTACCGTTGTTACACTTATAAATTATACATAACAGTTTCAACTAACAAAATTACTTACCTCCAAGTCCAAATTATCTTGGGAGCACAAACTACTAGCATTATTGCTGCTCATCGCCATGACACTTGTGTTTTAACGCCGATTTCCGCCGCTACTCGCGCTAGTCTTGCTGTGCGATGTGAAACAGACTGCACTACCGCCGTTACCGCTGATGTTAGGGACACGACTTTTAACTCAGTTTGGCGTTTAATGAGTATTATTTCATCCGTAATATGCACGTATTAGCCATCTTTCGTTATTAGAGATGATAATAAAATGTTTTATATTCACTTTTCTCATTGGTAAAAGTATTTAATTCGTCTCTTTAATGGTAAAACTCGTTCGGGGGACGTGTGACCGTCGTTACTTTGGCCACTATTTTCTCAGTTTATTTCCAAAACCTCTTAATATTTAACAAATAAACTGTATATACAGCAATATTAAGGCCTAAACTTCCAAAATAAAAGGTTTTTAGCAATAGGTAAAGTGAGCAACATTTTTTTATTACTAAGGGACTGTTATTGTACCCAATTCAAATTTTGACCCACTAACCAACCTGAATCTAATCTGAAATGAAATTTCACTATCCGCACACCTCTAGTAGGTAACATACAAAGCGAAGTCAACTTACCATGTGGTACCGGTAGGACTTTTCCAATCTCATATATCGTAGGCAGTACTCGCAAATCCACAATTTGGGCTGTTTGCCGTATTCATCTGGGTAGGGGCTAAAGTACCACGTATCTATTTCAAACCTCCCTATCTGGACTCTATCTATGTATTTCACTTTGGTAATAGCCTCATGCTCTTTCTCCAGGGCTGCCGTAGTCGGGTCCATTTCTTCATATGTCTGCAATCAAGCAATCAATAGTAATAGTTAGTAAAATATGATTTCAGAGTTTTTAACCTACTGAAATAAATGAATTTTTAACCTACAATTAACTCTTTTTATTCAACAGATTAAAAAATATATACTAATGTTGCATATGCTTTCACTGATAAAAAATTTAATTTGTATGTACATTTGTGTGTATCTTACTGTTCAATGAAATGGCGACCATACAAAGTAGGTATTTTAAGCCAAGTATGAATGGAGACGAGTGTAGGATGAGTGGCGCGATCTTGTAGTCTTGTTAAGGCTACTAAGGCCGACATTCCTTAGACACAGCTGTTAATTAATAGCCCTTACAGCTAATGGCAACTAAGGGACCTACAGTTTATAGTGGAATCCGAACCACATTTTTGCCTTAGTGTATACAAATTGGTCTAATTATCAGGATAGTACTGCGGATAGTCGTAGTACTCACTATTGCGGACACTAGTCCACACCAGGAAGTATCACATCATCAGTCCATGCCTATAAATATCCACAATTCGTGACCTCCTAGTAGCTGGAGAACCTTCTTACAGAATGCATCAGTTTTTGTTGGAACAAATTTTAAGTGTAAAAAAAGTAAATATTATGAAATTTAAGTTTATTGAATGGTATAGGTGATATCATGGTGGATTGAAACTTCTGTATGTGGAGAGTGAACAGCTCTTTATATGCGATACAAAACAATCAAACTCACTATACACTATTCCATGTACAATTGAATCGATTCATTCAAAAAGATTCAATTATAACGAATTCTTCCAATACTATATAGGCTTGAAGGAGAACAAAAGGTTAGGAGTAGAGGTAGAGATAATGATGAGAAGATTCATTAAATCAGTAAATGATGGTGCTATGCATTATGAGCTTCACATACAATGTGTATGTGTAAATGCAATCAGAATGCAGATTAATAAACGTCAAAGCAATCTTGAAATGCTTAAATTATGGTTGATTGCAGTCAAATCAGTTCTTACTTAGCATGTGAGGAAGGTAGGTTGGGTTTTATGTAGATTTGTGACTGTGTACTAAGTTTTTTGGAATTAGGTTGGATTAGAAGGGTAAAGTTTAAGGTGCATTGTCCAAGGCACGTCTGTTGTGTCCGTCGCAGAGCAATGATCGCTTGATAATCGCTGGGCGTCAATCGCTTTAAGGCCCATTGTCCAAGAACGTGTCTACTGTCTATTCTGTTCAACAGTTGGTTGCTGACTGTGTTAAAGTCTAGTTTAGGCCGGTTTTATGCAACGCGACAGTTAGCTTTTACACTTAAGTACTGTCAAGGATGGAATTTTTTTTTATCTAAATTTTAAAGGCTTGAACCTAAACAATTACCTAATACAAAAACTGTTTAAGTTTTTTTTTCCTTTAAAATTTAATTAAACTTAATATATATTAGGAATTAAACCAATTTTGCTTTTGAGGCTAGGGAAATTTTCATTTACTGAGCTGTGTGTCTCACTGAAGTAAATATGACCCTGCTATTTTTTTTTAAGTTGGCAGCCTAATTTAACCTTGAATTCTCCATCATGCAGTATGGGCCTCAAAGGCTGAGTATGTCATCAAGCCAATCAAGTGGTGATGAATTGTAGGCCAACTGATAAAATATTAAGTAGTGGTATGAGAATGCTAACCCAAGACACCACTGCCTTAGTCTTGCAGTCTATGTAGCTACTGACTGAGCAACATACTCGTCATTATAGAAGATATTTCTCAAATTTTAACAGCCAGGCACAAGGATTAAATTTTACTGACTGGTCGATTGGCCTGCTGTAGATAACCTTTGTCTTGCGACAGCCAGTTGTTCTAGCCCACCTTTTGAATATGGTTGATTTCATCATGGCGTCTTTTCTGATTTCTTGTGATTTTTCTATCAGACTGATCTAAGAGATCTAGCATTCTGTCTCCAGTTTTCCACTGTTGGTCTGTCATGTCGAATCTTGAATTCATTATCCTGAAAAGCATATTAAACACAAATGATATTCTGAGAACCACACAAACCTCTCAATAGAAAATTAGATTGCTTGTGAAATCTTTAATGTAAAAGAATTATGAGTTAGTATCAGTATCATATTTATTTATTTGGCAAGCCTGATATTCTTTTCACACAAGCAGTGGAATACATAGTAAGCTCAATTTATGTAACATCTAGAGTCAGTTGGATCTTATTAAACTTAGTCCTATTAAATATTGGTATTCATATTATTTAATATTTAATAATCCAATATTTAATCGATGACGAAAATGTAAACAGAGCAACATTTGCTGACAGTATTTGATTGAATTCAAACACTGTGGTTTTATTTTTGTTGCCAAGTTTAGCGGCCAGAAAATATTTACTTCCTAAAGCTCTAACTCAAAACTGTGTTATGAATTACTGTTCTTAGTAATCAGCTGATGTATTTATTTACTTTTTGCTTGTATTAGAGATTTTTTTACTTTTCCAACTATGTAAGAATTTAAATTTAGCCTTATTTTCTAAAAAGGACCAGTTATTCACAACTTATTTAATAAACTTAGATTTATTAAGATAATAAAAATAAAAATGGAAAGGCTTTTAAAAACAGGCAGGTTTCATATAAATTGTGAAAATCCTTCTGCAAGTAGAGCGTTCAAACACTGGTTCAGGACACTTCCAAAAATTTCTACTACACGACAAGATGGCGGCAGGTGAAGATGAAGCTGTATGTCCTAAGTGTACGATTTTATTGTATAAAATAGTGGTAAAGGCCTTCAGTGCGATGGTTACTGTGACAAGTGGCACCATTCTACGTGTGTTGATATTGACTTGAAGGAATATATGAAAATCCAAGAACTTTCTACTAAAATCAAGTGGATGTGTGACGACTGCTCAGGTATGCATGAAGTAATGAAAGCAAAGACGCCCATCGATACCTACTAAGCAGGTATCGAATGGGCAACAACCGGTCCAAATCCCACCGAATGGAGAAACTACTCTGCAAAACGACCATACTATGTGTGTGAATCATGAAGATAAAAATGCAGCACAGTCTATAAGCTCAATTCAGAGCAAAGAAAAAAGCTCAAATACTAACACAAGACGTAGTTACATATAAGTTCTACAATTAACTAAAACCAAAAGCGTTTGTGCTGGTGGCGGGCAGCTACATGACAAAAAATGCTACCCACCATCTCAGCCGAAAAATGATAGGGCTGAACGGAGTAACAACAACCGAAACCGAAATGAAAGTATGGAAATTAAAATCAAAATATGGCTGCCGATCCCGGATCCGAAATCGGATCAAGATTCTCAAGTTACCTTTTATTTTGTAAATGCCTTTAGTTCTTAAAGTTCTAAGATCTGTAGATCACTGATGCCCATTTCGCCACAAGTTGTGGCATCTTCAGAGTTAAACTAAACTATATTACTACTATATACGAAGTTAAGTATTGAACAGTTTATATATCCCATCACTGAGGTTGCTTGCACTCGCGGCGGGTTCCAAGTTCGCCAAGTAATTATCAGAACAAGTACAAGTACGAGTTTAAGTGCAAGAGTGAAGAAGGCTTGGGTTTATTTGGGACGGCTAAAGGAGGAAACCGGCGAAGAAGACGTCAAAAGATTTCTTCAAGATATCTTTAATGGTATAGATATATCAGTCGAGGAACTAGAAAACAAAGGAATATATTCCTTTAGGGCTAAAGCTAACTTTTAGTAATGTTCAATGCTTGAGGACCAAGATAAATCTAGTTGAGGCGTTTGTGAAAAATACTTCTCCAGATGTGCTATGCTTATGTGAGCACCACTTAAATAGTGATGAAGGAATTTTTTTTGCCAATATTGATAGTCTGAAGCTAGCCTCTGCTTATTATCACTCTGTGACGCAAAATTCTAGGGGTGGAATAAACTAGTATTCACCAAGTCAGGCTAGGCCTACCCCTAGACCCGGCCACACTCGAATTTCTTCCCCGGAGTGCTCAGAAGGAGCCGAGAAAAATCCAGGGGTCGATACGAAGTTGTCACGGCTTTGACTGATCAATTTATTTAAATTTTAATCGAAGGCTCAGAGCTCTAGAAGCGCTCAGGAAATCCTGCAGACGCCCAGTTGGAGCTATATCATCCCAGCCTTCGTAAAAGTGTTTTGGAGAATTTTGCCTAACTTTTAGTATGACTCTGTAGGGCCGACGAGTATCCAATCTTAAGCCAATGTGATATAAATACTCGTAATAAACTGTAAACTATCTGGCTAAGGACGTTGGTAAATAATATAAAATCGAATATAAAACGTAAAAAGCAATTCCTACAGAGTCGTCGGGCCTAATTAATATGATCGAATGGAGAATTTATCGTGGGATGATTTAAAATAAATTTAATATTAATATTCGTGACTGCCTGATCAAATCAGTCTACTCCCAAGACTTGATTCTTTCACCCGCCAAAGACGGGGTTTAGAACGTAGACGACAAGTCTCGGGGTATTAAACGACGAATTAACTAAAATAAACGTACGTAATAATTCTTTAAGAGAACGGAACAAATGTAATTTCGTAGCCAATTGATTTAAACGAGCCGAAAGGTATCCACCGCTAGTCACTGGCAGGCAGGAACTGGCGGGTTGTATGCAAGTCGGCGAAAACTAATTTAAGTTAAGTCGAATCGGGAATTTAAGAAAACGAAAAGGATAATAAGTTAAGTACAGTATGCGTAAGATAAAACAGGAATAACGTAAAACGTAAAAAAGGGCCTAACTAGTGTGTTAGCTAACCTTCGTAATAGGATCGTAGGGTCGTATTCGTAATTTGTGCGAGCTGGTCGGCGGTCAAACAGCGAATAATCTTGTCCGACTCAAATCATGATTTCCTCGGTCGAGGCTTAATCGCTCTGGTGGTGAGTTTGAGAACTAGCCAACAGCTGATCGGAAATTCACCTGTTGAGCCGGTCGGTCTAGTTGTCGTCTGTCGTTGGTCAACAAACACCATTTTGAGGTTAAGTGATGTTGTCATCGGCGTTAAATATTCGTAAAATCGGTCGTTTTAACTTTATTATGTGAAACGAAGTGCTATTATGAATAAATATGTAGTTGTGGATGTGTTTGTGTACTTCACTGTGAATAAAAATAGGCCTACGTTCTTTGGCCCATAGCCCAAGCTATGGCCAACACATAGGCCTCGGAGTAGGCTATTGTGGTTAAAAATCGGGTAAGTTCTGGTGTTCATTTATTCATAGTACGTTTTTACCCCCCTCAAAATTTGGTACCTTACACCCCTTACCAACTTCAGCAAAAAAAGAAAAAAAAGATCTTAAACGTAGGGGTTCGGACGGGGTCGGAATGGTCTCGAAGAAGGGGTGCCTGTGTAAGTCGTCGTTTAGTCGTAATCGTTCGTATCGTATCGCGTCAACCAACGGGAGGGATATCACCAGCTCCGTCGGGGCGTGCGTCGGAGTTCGTTGCGTTGTTCGATCGGCTGTTCGGTTTTGAAGAATCTACGTCGTGTCGGGCGTCGTCCACGAGGCACGTCGGCCACCTCCGATGTGAGGTGACTCACCACGAAATGGCCCGATTGGCCGTCGTTCGTCGCGGTTGGCCTCGATGCGTCATCTTTCCGGTCTCGGCGAATTAGTACGTTGGGACGTTCACGAGGCACCTCGGCCACCTCCGATGTGAGGTGACTCACCGCGACCAGGCCCGATTGGCCGTCGTTCGTCGCGGTTAGCCTCGATGCGTCGTCCTTCCGGTCTCGGCGAATTAGTACGTTGGGACGTTCACGAGGCACGTCGGCCACCTCCGATGTGAGGTGACTCACCGTGGCCAGGCCCGTGTGGCCCTCTTTTGCCACGGGTTGCCTCGGGAAAGCATCCACTTCGATAGATTGCGTTACAGGGTTTCTGGGATACCTCTGTTTGACAGGGGTTGCAATTGCCCTGAGCCACTGCGTCTGCTCAGTCAACGCCGACTACCCCTAATCGTTGTCAAACAGCGGTATCTCGCGTTCCAGAAATTCTGCAAATTTCGTGTTTGTTTTTCGTGTAATTTTGAAAATTTTGATTTCGTGGTTGATGTTGTTGACCGGAAAGGGCGGGGAGACATCGTCGTTGTGGAGGTTTCGTACTTCGGTGTGTACTCTGACTAGAGCGAGGTCAGCAGTACACCGAATGCCGAGTACCACCTCCACACTTAGGCCTGGGACGTGGATATCCCGCGAATAAGGTTGGCCAGCGATTTCGTCGTCTACTCGGTATCGATCCGAAATACACGCTGCGTTGTCCATTCGTTGGTTGACGTCAGTCTGGTCGGGTACGACGCCGCACGTCCGAAGGTGGCGTACGATCTCCAATTAGACTGACTGACGAGCCGGTAACGACGAGGGCGCTGAACGTCTCACCTGAGATGACCGCGTCAACGAAGGGTCGGCCATCTCTGGGGGCGCGTTCGCGGCTGACGGTTCCCGTGAATTGCGTTATGAAATGGAGCAAACGGCTCCACTCGGAGGTCGTATGGCGTCGGGTAAATCGTGTTCCGTCGTTGGACCAAAGATCGTGATGCGCGGTATGTATCCTGCCTGGGCGATGGGATGTTGGCTAGCAGCTTTACCAACACTTCGAGGGTTCGTCGAACGGGTGAAAAATGTTCGGTGGGAGTCCCGAGTATATCTCGCATGCTGGCCGTCTCCTGGTGCGTTGGAGGTTCCAGCAATTGCGGTCGAATTCGGATATCATGGGCCGCAGAGGCGGTAGTCCACGATATCGTAATCACCGTCGGGTTCATCGGCTGACCGATGCTTCCCAACGGGTTTCTCAAAGACTCGCAAAAGCGTTTGCGAAGCTCGGCGACGCTACTCCCAATTCCCAGCTGATACTTCGTCATCTCCGCTAATACCGTCCGCTCAAAGTGTGGATCCAACCGACGCACGAGTCGTCCATCGGCGATCTCGGTGCGCTCTTTATCATCGAAGGCATTATTTCGGGAATTTCGACGTAGTTGTAGTCGTCGAC